TAATATGTTCAAATGCAGCATGAAAGGAGTTTATGCACAAGTTTTGAATTTGCTCAACCAAGTTATGTCCGCTGGTTCTACTAAAATGAAAATATATATAATAATAACAGGTGAGCAGGTCTTGTGCAACAGGGTCGCGCTATTGTGTATTGTGTATTTGCAGCTTGGAAATACACAATAGGAGAGATGAGTTAAAATAAGTTGCTCTGATCCTATGTTTACATCATAAACAAAGAGTCATAGCAGGCTAACATTATGAATAAGAAATTATTATTAATGTTTTGCCTGTTTAAATAAGATTTAAGTAACTAATCCAGTGGTTCCCAAACATTTTTATTTACGACTCACAAAATAATGACGTGATTTAACAATCAACTATTGCTGTTTTCATAGATCCATACATCCAGGTCAGTGATGGTCTGCCTTATTGTGTTCATTTAAAAAAAAACGTACTTACTGTGGTAGCTTAGCGGTCAGTGTTGCAGTCTTGTGATCATGAGGCCGTGGGTTTGAGTCCAGGTTGGAATGTGTGAGTGTCTCTGTCACTCTTCAGATCTTGGCTCTTTGTGCCTGTCCCCCCATCATGGACCTTAATAAGTCTTATTCTCACCATGTCACAATAAAGTCACTATTAAGGACTAAAAGGTAAGAGATGATGGAGGCCAAAAGGGCAGCTGCAGTACAGCGTGATAAAAGAAGAGATGACATTACCACATGTTGTAATAGGAGAGCAGAACAGGAAGAACAGGATATAAAGGGCAGAACTGATGGCAGTGAGGAGCAGGTGCTACAAACTGATCTGATTATAGAGACTATCTAATGACTTCATTAAGTTCTGTAGGTGTTTTTTTTTAGTTTAATATGATTGGTGTTTAGAAAACACCTCGCTGTCACCACCATCATTGATTAAAGCAACACTGCCTTCATCGACGTAAAAAAAATACATAAAAAACTTTCAGAAATCCAAGTCAATCTGATTCAAGATGCCTGTTACAGCTAATCACATACTTATGCTATTAATGCTAGGTTTATAGACAAAGATATTAGCAACATTTACAAACTTAGATCTTTTTTTAAAAGATACAAATCAAGTTACAATGAATATTTTTAAATCGGTCGTACAAAGGAAGAGAAAATAACCGCTTTGCTCCAGTTAGATGCATGTAAAGTGTTTTATTTTCTAATAAACTTACTTGAAAAACACAGAGGGATTGACTTTCCTGAGCCTCTAAAAGCATCTGATTTCTGCTTTTAGTTAAAAAAAAAGTTTAGTTTGACATTCATTCCACAGTCAAATGAGCAGGTTTTTTAAAAAAAAAAAAAATCGATATTTATTGCATAAATCTAAAATTTACAAGGGTCTAATAATGACGGAACGGTGGTGTGTTGCCTCTGTTCATAATCTTTGTGACTCTGATCCCACCTGAGCTCCAATTAAAACATGACTCATTGTGCAGTAAACCCTTAAATTGTTATTTTACCACCGAGGCCCTTCATGACGCAACCCGGGCTCAAACCTGCAGCCTTGAGATCGCAAGACCACCATTCTGCTTTTAATCCTTGAACCCAACTCTCTCCCTCTCTTTTATCGAAAACAACTTTATATGGTTTTCGCAACAAGGATTCATTTTAAGAAAAAGCCATGAGGTGATCTGCAACCAGCGAGTCCCGGCCAGGAAACAACCTAAATCTGCCAAAGTTATTCAAACAAAATACATTTCACGTCCATATAAATTAATTAGGTGAGACAAAACTGTTCCCCAGCACACAAATTATTGGATTTGCACTGATTATTTTTAAAGCGCGCTCAAATCATGTTCAGTTTTAAAACGACCGAAATAGAAAATGAATAGTGGCGTGTATTTCCTTGTTTCAGTGCATATTTAGAAACACCTGGTAGGAAGTAGTAATGTAAAATGTATTAAAACAGAATGGTTCAGTTGGTATGTGACATAACTTGTTTTAAACAAGTTAAATCAGCTATTTTGGCAAAAATAAGTTGTATTTGAATTACTTCAGTTGGTTAACGCCCTTTAAATTGAAACAATATTTAATAACATGTAAAGAAATTACGATAATGTTTGCCCTTTTTTTGACAGGACATCAACAAGTGTGCTAAGAAAATACAGGTTTTATTTGGTGATGGGAATCAATGCTGCTATTATGAAAACCACTTAATTTTTTTAACATTTATTTTTGTTTTCATAGGTCAAACTGTATACACTAAAACATTCCAAACATTTGCATTGGATTTACTTAAATAAATTATATCAACAGGTTCTATTGTTTCATTGAACTGAATGTGAAATAATTGTGTTAGATTTACTCAATTTAGTTGAGTAGAACCTGTTGGCATAAATTATTTAAGTAAATCCAATACAAACATTTTGAATTTTTTAATGTAAAGAATGTTTTTGCATTTTTCCATTATTTTCAAGCCGGTGAGAGAATATAAGCAGAGGTTAAAAAAAATGAGGAGACAAACAAAAGTACAGATAAAAAAAGAAGAAAAACAAATATATAAGAATGTGATCAGAGGAGGAGAAAAGAGTTGAAATGAGGAGGGGCAGGTGAGGAGGGAGTGTGCCCTCCTTGTGGCTGCTGCAGTGCTGTGCAGGAAGCCGATTCATCATCACCAAATAAACTACGGGACGAGGAGGAGAAACAGAAGTGTAAGAGAGAGAACACATACACTGGAGTCAGCACGCAGTTTGTCATCTGCTGCCTCCTGTTTCCTCCACTTATCACTCTCCCCCTAACACACACACACACACACACACACACACACACGCACGCACGCACGCACGCACGCACACACACACACACATACGCACGCACAGACCTGTGTCGCCCGGCCTGAAACACACTCAGCTGTTCGTTCTCTGAGTGGATCTTTGTCTGAGCTCAGTCGAAGCCTCAGGGATGATGTCATGTCAATATTATCTTTCAGCGTGCTGAATGAAAGCCTTAACAGCTTTTCCCTAAAAGTTTTTGATTTTTGAGTTTTTTTTTTCTGTCTGTCCATTCTGCTGTACTTCAGGCTCTGCCTCTCATTTATCACTAAAACCCACCAAAGCAGAGAGCTTACTCAGTTGGCGACGTTGTCAAAAAACAATTAGCCAGAAAGTGCATGGAAGCCAAGCAGAGCTGCGGGCTTTAGTGTTGATTCTCTGCAGTGATTTTAATCACGAATGCAGAACGATCGTGTTTTTGCCCTGGTCTGTGTGTCTGTACCGTTAGCAGAAGATCGCACGAACCACTGCGTGGATTCTAATGAAACTTTCAGAAAGCAAACTGAGAACAATTTGGAGCCAGTTCAATTCAAAATGGCCGCCACAGCCAACTAATCTTGGAAAACACAGAAACGACATCACTCAGTGTTGCATATGTTAAAGGTAACAATAAGTCCACTTTTTTAACCGTTAGGCTTCATTCTCTTCTGGCTCTGGGTCAGACTCTGACTCCATGTGAGGCTGGATGGACAAGTCTTCCCTTGTTGACATCTTTTAATTCATTTGAAAATAAAAAAGTTTCTGCGCAGCTATATGGTCGTAAACCCCTCTATCAAACTAGAATGGACCACTCTGGAAACTGGAGGGGGGGGGGGCATGGTGTGAAGCACCTTGTTTGGATTTAAAGAGACAGCCTCAAAATGAGTTGAGACACACCTCAGAAAAATGGTGAAGAGGGGCTTGTGGAGTTACAATAAGGAGGAATACAGACCAAAACATTGCATTTCCTCTTTATAAAGACCCCAATGAGGTCCTCCATCCATATTTTCAGTTACAGACTGAGTCATTTCTACCTTCTCCTCTCTGTCAACGCTCTCTGGTTTCATTTAAAAGAGCCAATCGTCAGATACTGTCCAAGATTAACCTTCAGGGTGGATATAGCTCGCTCACACTGAGGACCTATCCACGTCATCATTTACCCAAAATGCTTTGCGTGTAAATAAAATGGCTACATCTCTGTTTAAATATATGTTTAAAAATTTACAAAACAAAACAGCCTACAGTATTTTTACAGTCTTTGTTTTACAGTTAAGATATATGTTTATCAAATAAAGTCTAATGTTACAACTAATCATGGATCCCTTTAAACACGTCAGAAAGCTGTGTGAGACTGATCACATTGCATGTGTGTAGGTAATATCTCACTGTGCCCTGAGAAGAACTGAACTGATAGCATATAAAAACATTTAAATTGAAACCAGATCTTAAATGGTTGGTTTCTGTAGGCTGCTGTGGCGCTGACTCCAGAGCCGCAGCACCAACTCTCCCATGTGGAGATCAGATTGTTCCGGTCCAATCAAGAAACGCTTTGCACGAGAATAGATGAACGAGGCTGAGGTTGCCATGGCAATACCTGAACCTTACAGCGCATAGGTGACAGGAGCTGCAACAGACCGTTTCAGCTCCGATGCGAACCCAGATATATCTAAGAGCACGAGCTTCGTTACTGGTTTCTTCTCAGCCTCCGGTGCCGTTTACGCGGTTCTTTCACATTAATAACTTTAAAAAGAAATCCGGCACTTGAAGATAAGTTTCCCATTTGAAAAGTGTCGCCACTAATGCCTTTAATTGCTTTCTGCACACCTGCAAAAATAACCAGGCTGTATGTGAGGTTACCATGGCAACCGCGAGCTTTCCTGTAATCAAACCACAGACTTCTCAGCAAGTGTTGCCAAATTGGCAGCAATTTTGGAAACGCGTCCAGGTGGTTATTTCAGGGTTAAAATGTGGCCCTTTTCTCAATGAATGACTGAAAAGCTTGAGCTTTAATTGACTGTACGTACAGAAGCACCATTCAGCTCTGAGCTGACGTTTTCTTTAAAGTGCGTTTTTTCACACTTATTTAAAATTAAATTCAATAACATCCAAATATCTGCCTTCCTTTTCTTAATAAATAAATAAACTATAAATAAAAAAATACATAAATAATGGAAATATTGCACCAAGTTGAAGAGAATTAACAACTAACGCGCACGTTTTGTCTTTCAGGTTTTGTGGCATCTCGACATCTTCCGCAGAAGCTTTCGGCAGCTCACCACTCATAAGTGCATGGAGGACTCGTGCATCTTCTGCGCATTAAAAGTAAAAAAAAAATCATGTTTCATTCTCTTTGCTTATAGTGGTTTTACTGTCAATATGAAGCCACAGCTGTGGGAACATGTATCAGCTGGGGGTGCTGTGAGCATGTGTGAATTTTCAGTTCAATTCAATTAAAAATGTTAATTAATTTCATTAAAAAATAACTATATACAAAAAAAAAAAACAAAGAAAATACACAAATCAAAATAAATTGAAAGGTAGCAGAAGAAGAATAAATCTTATAATAGCTGCCCCTTTTATCCCCAGAATATATTCAAACAAAACATAATTTACAAAACTATACTAATAAAAATAAAAACAGCAACTCAACATTTCATATAGCTTCACATTTTACTTTTCCATATACTGTCACAGCTTGGTGGTGAGGAGAACCCAAAATGCAGGCAGGCAGGCAGACCAAAGTTAAAGTAATTAAAAAGACTTTAATAAAGAAAAAAAGCCAACATGGTGGCAAGGTAACAAAACAAAAACTCAAAACTTGGAACATGAGCATGAGGTAAAAACAAACATGGGTAAGCAATGGTCGGACACTGAAGTGACGAAGAGAAGAACCTTAAATACAAACAGAGCTGAGTGGAAGTAGGAAACAGCTGGGTGATTACAATTGAGGACAGGTGAGTGAGGCAGGCTGGAAAAATACTAAGAAGCTGACTGAGGAAAACATGGCACAGGAAACGAGAAAATAAGACAATACCGAACAATGAAAAACAATCTGAAAAATACTACCAAAAAATAACCAAAACACAAGAATCATAACATATACCTTCAAAAACTAGCTTTATCTGTCCCTTAAATATATACAAAGATCTGGCGTTTTTAAGATCATCCTCCAGACCATTCCACAATCCTATACCCTGGATTAAAGTACATCTTTCTCTCAAGCAAGAAGAAAAATATGGCTTCACAAACATTTCCATCCCCATAAGACAATAACAACTGTCTCTCTTAACAAAGTTTCCCTGAATGTTGGAAGGTAATATGTTTCTGTGAGCCTTGTACATAAACAGTAAAATATTATAGTCAATCAAATCAAAGAATTTCAAAATTTTCAGTTTGCAAAATAATGTATTAGATGGATGGTTGTAATCTTTTCTCGCAATAATTCTTACGGCTCTTTTTAGTAAAACAAAAATTTGATTTGTAATTGTTTTGCAAGCTTTACCCCAGACTTCAATTCAGTAAATTAAAGGTGGAACAATTACTGAATTGTACAACACAAGCAGAGCCTTGTCATATAATAACTCCCTGACTTTATACAGTACTCCAATAGATTTAGATATTTTTGTTCTTATGTGTGGTCATGTCAGCTTGTCATCAATGATGACACCCAGAAATTTCACCCCACTGATTCTACCGATCTCAATACCATCCACTTTAAATGAGAAATCAGCAGTTGTCTTCCTGTTACTAAATATTATGTAATTTGTTTTATCCAAATTTAATGACAATTTGTTTTGTTGAAATCAATTTTGTATTTTCTCAAATTCTTAATTTATTTCTTACACCAAAAAACAACCATAGGTTAAGAATATCATAATACCCAATACACCTAGCACAAAAAAAGGAAAATTGTGTTTGGTAGATTATTTCTTTTTTGTTAAAATAATTTTTGGATATAAATCTTATACCGTTGGAAAGCCTATTAATTTCCATTTTACAGGTGCTGGTCATAAAATTGGAATATCATGAAAAAGTAGATTTATTTCAGTAATTCCATTTAAAAAGTGAAACTTGTATATTATATTCATACATTACATACAAACTCCATCCATCCATCCATCCATCCATC